ATGATGATCGATTTGCTTGTTCCAGTCGATGGAACCAAAACGTCCAGGGAGATCCTTGAAAGGTTTATGAACCTGTCACGTGGAGTGTCCTTACGCGCAAAAAATATAACGTCCTTGATGTAGCTATTATATTTTGTGGCAATGTATCGGCAACTTATTTCAATTCTATGAAGGGTGTAGAGACGTACTCAAGAATTTTATCCACATGCTCACAGTGTTTGCCGTTTCGCGCTAGTTGGCACATCGGCGCCTGATAACATTTGAGAATATTTTTCCAGCCGCTGAACATCACTTGACCGCCTTCGCTGTATTGGCCATAGGTGGATGCCGGCTCCAGTTTACCCAGTCTTACACCATGTGTTCAGTAAAGTGCATTAATTAAATGAGAACACTCACCGAGGGAGATGCGGGAGATTCACGTATGTGGCTTTGAGCAACGGGTCCATTAGTTCTTCTTTCAATGTGACGTCCGGTCCGTGCCTAATATTCCCATGAAAATTGCTGTCCAACATCGGAGACTGAACTTACTGCACGACATCATCGGCCTCAGGTGGCTCTCGCGTGGTAGGTGTCTGGCGACCTCTATGTATGTACCTATATATGAGCAAATTCAACAACAATGACATTGGCCTGAACGCACCGAACAACCGGAAGCTCCATCGCTTCGTCTTTGACTTCTTCGCGCTCACGGCTGTTTTCATCATCGCTGCCATACCCTCTGTGGATCACGAGAGTTACATTATGTGTTAGATAATATAGCAAAACTGACTTCACTACTGGAACGCAAACTTCGTCATCACTTCCCTCATCAGATTTGACTTCTCCTTCATCATATTCCTTCGGTTCAGCGCCAACTCCTTTCTTCCTAATCTCGACGTGTTTGCCAACCGCAAGGTTGGTCTTAGCACGCTTAGCGGACCTTCGAAAACATGGTATTAGGTAGATCTCAGACGCGTTTGAATACACACTTATTTACTGAAGCCTTTACATCGACTTCTTGGATATCGCTGTCACGTTCATCACCGGAGATATCATCGAGGTCAGTTTTGCGCTTCGTGCCCTTGATCATACTATTTCCGTTCAGATTCAGCTGATTTGCTCCAGAACCCGTTATCACTCACATCTTTTTGGGCACGCTTGTAACGGCAGGATTCCTATCCTTTATAGTAGACGCTGCCAACTCGGATATAGAAGGGAACTCGCTTGGATGATTATTAATATTAAAAAGAAACGGCGAGGTTTTTGACACATACTCCTCATTCGAATCATCGTCTCCGTTCATAGCATACGGTTTTTGTTTGTCGCCGGCAACACGAGACGTGGATTTTGAACTAGATCTAATGTATATCATGACGGCTGATATGAAATGCAGCTTGCATACACTTACATTTTGAGCTCGACGTCACTCTTATCATCTTCAGACTTGACGATCTTGCGGCTCTTGCCCTTCATGTCGCGTTTTTTCGGCTTCACACCATTCTTTCGACTTCCACCCACCTTACGCACTGAGGAATCGGGCTGAGATTTATCGCTATCAGGACACGTAAGAACAAATCACGGTAAGTATTGAAAGTGTATTTACCTGTCGTACTGCACAACGATCACATCCTCCTCATCGGAACCTACGCGGACCGGCGCCTTTCTGCTTGTTGCCTTGGACTTGAGAGTTTGTACCACTCCCACGGGACTGTGGAAATATAAACGACAATGAGCATGTGATGATATCTGAAAAATACCGTCGACTTACCTGCCCATACGCTTGCTAGGGACAGACTTCCTAGTAGTTTTCCTACATAATATGAGAGACCGGACTCATTATAGAAAAACACGATAACATACCGAGGCTTTCACAAGGAAAGAAGACGCCGCTTCCCTACCAAAGATAAAGCGGCGATGCGGGCATGAGGACGAAGACGTTCGTAACGCCGGATATCAATTCTCAAAAATGCGTATGGAGACGAGGTCGGAGGAAAGGATGGAGTCTGACTAGCCACGTATAGATAATCGTGGAAGTTACACCAGCGCGCGCAATGCTGTGCCCAGGCCTGAGAAGCACAAACCGGGTATGATGCTTCTATTCCACCTTAATATGCTTTGACCGACCAGTGAATACAGCAGACCAATAACTAAACGACATCTGATATATAGTGCACATCCCTATATGCACAGTACAAGGCGTAGCATATAATGATCGACAGGAAGTACGGGATTCCAAAACCCAGAAGACCGAGTCATCGTGGGAACGGAATCTCCTCGAAGGATATTTCACACGGTAAACAGCTCCTAATAGGCAGTCGGGCTATGAGCCGCGGTGGCTACAAAGTCAATACAACCTCGGACGCACTACAAAATATATGATAGGCAGTCGACGATGGCTATGAGCCGCGGTGGCTACTAAGTCGTCGGACCGACTATAAAGGCTTCAACCAGCTTCGGACCTTAATGGTATGAACACGCGGTGGAGAGGTAAATGCAGGGAATGAATAAACACGCATCCTT